TACAGCAGACAGAGCCCAAAGCACCTCACCAGAAGGTGCAGCTGCCCAGGAAGAGACTGGCTGCCATGAGCACTTTGGAAGCTTGGAAAAGCCGCCCATGCTCGAGCTCAATCCATGCCAAACCACAAAATCCCACTCAGAGTCAGCAGTGCCCAGCAAGGGGGAGAACCTGTGAACCACAGATCACTTGAGCACGTGCTTCCTGGAAGACAGACCACACAGGACTTCCCAGGCAGGCACCTCCTTCAGGCCCTGGACCGAGATAAGGGTTTACAGGACTGGAGTGACTGGTCTTGCTGCAGGAGGGGCACAACACTCCACAGGGAGGTTTGAAATTTCAACACAGAGGCAGCAGGTAACACTCACGTGTTTTCTTCAGTTAAGATAAGGCCTGAGCAGGTTTCTCTCCCTGCCACCTCTGAACCTGTTCTAGGCAGCCCTGCAGGAAGCAGAGCACACAGAGGCATCCCCACAGTCATGAACACTTGTCTCCTTAAACAGACAGGGGAGAACAACTCCAGAAAAAGAACAGGCCAGAGCCCGGGCGCTGCATCCTCCAGTGCCCAAATCCCATGTGCTGTGAACAATGGAGATGTCCCTCAGCACTGCCAAGGACTGAGATACAGCTGAGGAATGGCTCACGTGAATTGCTGCCAGGCTGGGCACTGCTTACAGGAACTGCTGTCTGAGGGAAGCACTGAGCACTGAGGAAGTGACACAGTGACAGGCCCAGAGCTCTGCCTGCAGGAGATGTGAGAAACAGAACACGGCAAAGGTGTCTCAGCTCAGCCAAGGGTTGTGCCCAACCATGAGACCAAGTCGTTTTGTGAGGAGTTCCACTGGGGCACCTCCATGTGGGAAGACTGAGAACCTCAACAGCAATGAAGTGTCACAGGCATCAGACTTCTCAAAACCAAAAACCGCTCCATTAGACTTCCTAGGCTATTCACACTGCTAAAATCTACTACTGAGCAATCAAATACCTCCTACTGTGTATAAAGTAGGAGAACATAAGAGTCAAGGGCTGCGTTTTCTGGAAGGAGAGTTTGGAGACACAACCAGCAACAATCAGTCAGGGGAAAACACTCACACTCTGGCAGTGAGCTTGTGAAAGCTGTACACAATCTATCAAGCAGGAAAGAATCTGAGGTCTTGCAGCAGGCTGTGCTGGCAGTATTAATTACCTTTGTTTGTTATTAACTGCATTTGTTAAGCAACATGCATTTCTCAGCAACTTCCCCTCCAGCTCCCAGCAGGCACACGGGTGCAGTGACTCACTGTGCTGCACTTTCCTGTATGCCCTGAACGGGAGCTGGTACAAATTCCTCAACACCTGCATCACCCCTGTGAAAACCTGCTGCCAAGAGAACACAGCACCCAGGACCCCTGGGGAGGCATCAACAAGTTCCCTTCCTGCTCCTGCAGCAGATCCCACCCTGGGGCCCCTGGCACAGTCACCACTTCCTACTGGTGAAACTGGCTGGAAGGATTTACAATAAACTGCATCTCAGTTACTGTGATCATAAACACAACCAGATGCTTCCTCTGCTTTCACATAAAGCTTCTCATCAGCCCGTGGTGACAGTACTTTACTCTTACCATGGGACAGTTCCTGGATAATCTCTGGGCCTATATTCAAATCAGAAATCCAGAGGCAAGACGTGACACTGCATGGTTGTGCCCTGAGTGATCCAAACCTCCCAGGCTTACGCAGGCAAGATGTTCAACCCCTGGATGAGTATTTTGGAGGTCAAGTCCAGACCCAGCACCCGGCCATTCCCTCACCGGTTGCACAATCCAAGTATGCACAAGCCTCAAATGCCTCTGAACAAATCCTCCTGGGAAAGGACATCTTACCTTTGGCATGGAAAGTCCACCCAGCCCTCGAGTACTCCTGCAGCTGGACCCTCTCCTGCTGGTGGAGGTAGCAGACCTCACTGTAGAACTGGTGTTCAATGTAAACATAGGCAGCAGGGATGGCACCTGCCACCCCCTTGGCACCAAAAAACCCATTCACCTCTGGCGAGGCCAGGAGGATCCGGTACTCAGCCCTCGTGCCCAGGATGAGGTCCATGTATGCTTGGGTCAGGTTGAAGTAGCCAGTGGTAAGGTATATCCTGGCGTCCCGTTCAGCCTCTGTCAGCAATGTCTCTGTGACCATCTCATCTATTTGAATCCCAAAAGGTTTCATTTGGATTAAGGGATAGATCCAGGTGTCAGGTTCTGGTTTCAGATCCCTGGATGCTTGAGAGCTCTTCTGGGACAACAAGGAGCTGCCTTGCTGGCTGCTGTGGAAAGTCTTTGCGTGAAGGAGCTCTTGTCGGGTCCTGGCAGAGTTGATCACCTCCATGACCCTCCGATTTGCTATCTCACAGTAAGCCACCTTGTCCCCTGCAGGAAAACCACACGACACTGGGTTTGAGACCTAAAGATACAGACCTACACATCACCTATCATGTAGCAGGAAAAGCTACTGACAGGACACCAACAGGAGAACAAAAAGGAGCTAACACAGAGACCACACAACTTTCTTCCCCAAGTCTCAAAAAAGATGAAAGTTTCATAGTATGTACACCCAGAACATCTGGCACAATAGCCATTAGTACCAGAAACAGGAAGAACCTCTCGAGGAATTTAAGTTCTTGTTTAAGGTCTTAAGCAGCAGAACTACAAACAAGCAATGATACAGGTATGGGGTCAGTTCTGGCCTCTGCCAGGTGAGCTGGTGACAGCCACGGTGCTAGGAACACCCTGACAGAAACAGTCTCAAAACTGGAGCAATCTTGGTTTCAATAATGGGTGGCACAGAAATGGGACACTCCTGCGCCTGTTAGCAATGGCCAGACACCCAGAAACCCACCAATGGATGGAGCTCATCAGCCATCAACCCCAGCTGTCTCCCCCCTCCTCCGGACCATATCCTCCAAGCAGGGAAGAGAACTCCCTCCTACCCCGGTAGGGGTGCACCATCCCCTCCATCATCTGCACTGTATCATCTCGCTGCAATTGCAGGGACACGTCTCCAATTGCATCCACCAGCTCCGTGAAGAAGTCTGCGATCTCGGGAGAGTCCTGCAGGAGAACATAGCGGTCCTGGCGATTGGTGAAGTACAAATCACTCAGGTTTGCACTAGGAGAGAAAAAGAAGAGTTGAGTTCCAGAACTGAGCATAGGCCTGTGATCCTGAACACCCCGGCCCATCACAGGTCTCACTCTGAACATAACTGAAGTACAAACTGGCCATTTCTTTCCAAATCTTGAGAAAGCTTTCTTTTTCCCTTTAGAGAAAGACTCTCTTACACATGAGAATCTCATGTGGCAGAGCTGTGGTTGCTCTTCCATCTCAGAAGAGCATTGCTGTGATGACTGTGGAAAGGCCAGACGCAGATAGGAAGCTCAGACAGCACTGGCAGCATGCACACCTTGCCTCAACACCTCAGCTAAACGAAGCATGGAAGGGCCTGAAGAGGCAGGACTCACCCGCTGAGGATCACATTATCATCAAAGAGATAGACCTTGATGTGCTGCAGTCCAATGGTCTCATTAAAGCGCTCTGGAATCAGGAGCCTGAGCAGCCCACGCAGGTTCGGGGTGTGGAAGAGGGACACACGGACTTGCTCGGGAAATCGCTGCAGCAATGGAACCAGCATTGTCCGGGAATTCTTCCGACCTGGGAGACAAAGGGAGTTTCAGAGGGGACCTCACCAGCCAGGGGATACCTCACTCATGGCACTGCAGCTGGTCCCAGCATGAGCACCCAGCTCATCTGCTGGCCCTCAACATGTCTCCCTTTCTTTCTTTTCCATTTCATTTCTTTCTCAGTCACTTTCACTACTTCAGTTCTGAAATCCACTCCCAGACCTGCACCTTCACCGAGACAGGGCCCTGGAAACACCACTGAGCAGGTCTGACACCTTCCGAGATTCTTGATCAAGCCACACCTTGCACTAGTAACACCTGCTACAAAGAGGCAACACAAAGGTGTACAGCTACTTCCGACAATTCCCACTTTCCTTTAAGAATTAAAATATAAGAGAGCATGCAGGATAAGGGCAAATGCACTGACAAGTGAACTAAGCAAGACAGCACAAGCTGCACAGAGCGGAGTTCAGCCCTTCTTGCTCCAGCTGTCTATTTCAGATGGAAAGCTGCTCAGCTTATTCTAGGAATAAGTAGTTCCTGGTACACAAAAGGCCACTTCTGAGAGGTGTATGATCTAAGCAAGTAGGTCCAACTGGCCAAGACAACCTCCCTCTGAAAAAGCAGTCTACCCAGCCTAACTGTACACTAAGCCTCTGAAGAAAGCAAAGCATCATAACACCTACCCCGAGATCCCCTGGTGTAGTCCAGAAGAATGGAAACTCTGAGGTTAGACGATCCCTTTGCTTGCAGGGATTTCTCCAGTGTTTCTTCTAAGCAATCTACCTGCAGAGAGAGATTTCTCTGGTTACAGAAAGCAAATAAAGCTTTATAAAGAAAGCACTCAGCAGCCAGGAGGCTGGTGTCCATGAAAGCTTCCACACCCTGCTGTGAGTCTTTCCCACGCATGCAAATCACTGCCAGTTTAGACTCTGGATCTGTCAGACTGGCACCTTACTCTCTCAGCCTAAAGTAATATGTGAAAGAGCATTGATTTTGCATGTGCACATTCTTGAGCCTCTGAAAAGCAATTAATATTAGCAGAAAAATTCTCACCATCTTTCCCAAAACACGGGATTTGCATTACCAAAGAGAAACCCTGGAGGGACTCACAAATGGTGCAGAGGTAGCTTCATCCCTTAACTACAAGGCTGTTTGTCACATGCAAACTCACATCTTCCATACAAGCCCAGACAAAGCCAGGCACAGAGCCCTGGGCAGGCCCCTGTCCACCTTTACCCTGCTGTGGAATTTGCATTCTAACATGAGAAACCAGCCAAGGTCAGGCTTCTCCCACATAACACTTTTGTTTCCAGGGGGAAGAACAGGAAACGTAAAAGGTAAACAACACAAAGCAAAGCTGACCTCTGTCTTGAATGCAGAGAGCTGCTGCTGCGCTTGGAGGGCAGAACGCAGCACTACACACATCCAACTTCAATTGTGTCCAAGAAAAAAATGCCCAACAAAACCCATTACCCCTGATCCCAGTTCCACAAACCCCCTATGGACACTCCCAGTGGCCTCTGACAGGCTGGAAGATCTGGGCTAATTATCCTGTGAGGAAGTTCAGTAGTTCCATGGCTCTGTACTAGGCCTCAAACAGGAACTCCATGCACCTCCCTTCCAAATTCCTCCCTCTCCACCCCATGTCCAAGTACACAAATGCAGCCAGGAACCCTGGGAAACTCCCTGGGACAGGGGAATCCCTTTATCAAAGTTTTCATGACATTACAAACTCACAAACTGCTCCTCACACACAGCTCTTGCACTGCAGGAGCAGGATGCTTTTTGCAAAGGCAAACATTTTCCTTCAATCACTTTCTTCCCTCCCTAAACCCTTTCCACACTCACCAGCTCCTGCTCAAGGAGCCCCGTTCCCAGGTAGAGTGAAGCCATCACCACTCGCTGCTTGGCTGATTTTATCTGCACCTGGGAATAGCAGAACATCTGTTGAAGTTCATCCTCGGTCTTGCGACCATGAGCTGCTGTGATCCAGGGCACGGGACAGCTGCAACTTGGAACCCACAACCTACCTTCAAGAGTTCGTAGAATTCAGCTGGGGATGAAAGCACCTTGACATGCGAGCTGGAGATCCCAAACTCTGGAACCAGATTCCCAATCCACTGGAACCTGTGTGCTCCTTCTGGGCAGAGGGAACAAGGTGGGGCTGTGATCACAGGAACAGGAGGGGTGAGCAGTGGGGCTAGAAGAAGCCATGATGATCTGTGGAAAAAAAGATGGGGAAATTCTTTATGTGGAGCCTTTGCTTCCCACATTCAGCCTCCAAGCAGGGAAAGAAAAAGCTGCAACCAGGGCCAACACACGACGGCAAGAACATCCTTCCCCCTCCTTAACCCCAGCTGAACTCTCACAGTTCCTCAACAAAATGGAAAAATGCCTCAACTCCTCACACGTATCCAAAAAAAAGATCCACAACACACAAAGTGCCTGGCACAAGCCCCAGCAAAAGCAATGAAGTCACAGCACCAGCAGGACCAGAGGACCGGGTGTGTTTCAACAGCTACAAGCCAAGAACTGAGGAACATTGGGCAGCCTCTACAAGGATGCTGCTGCGCTCTGCCCAAGGACTAAAAGAGGTCAAGACTTCCAAAAAACTTCAAAGGAACCATAAGGGAAACAGCAGGAAGCTCATTCTTTAAAAAGGAACTTCAGAACAAATTTGATTCCTTTTAAGTCACTTCGGGAAGAAACCAACTTACTGCCAACAGTCACACGAAGCAAATGGCATCTTGTCTTCTCTGCAGGCTTCAGTCATGCAAATTCATCAAGTCATACAACAAGCCCTGGCAGGAGGCTGCCCACATGACAAAGCCACATTTCAGCACAATTAGCAGCAGCAACTCCCATGCGATGCAGGAATCAATGACTAAACTACAGAAACACTCTGGCCTGTAGATCCTACTCGCAGGAGTGAGACAGAACCACGCTGCTGGTCTCACCCAGAGGAAGGCTGGATCCCGCAGGCCGACAGGCAGCCACCATCCCGTGACCCATCCCCATGTGTCTGCCCCACCACACCACAAAAAGACTTGATTACGACCTTTACCAGAATCTGTTACAAGGAACTTTTAGGCTTTACCACAATCCAAACCCCAAATGACCTCACATTCCAGGAAGATGATTTCAGTCTTTTGCTTCACGATAAAACACTGGATCTTCACAAGGTTTCCGAACACCCTTACACAGAAGCCACAGTTGGCAGTTGTGTTTCCTGGAAAATCCACTACTTTGTCACTGACTATTCATCACACCAGAAATCTGAGTCAATTCCTGCAAGACTTCCTAGGATGGCGGTTTTCAATGGATCATGTGGACCAGGCTCAGACTCAACACCCACCAGCTGTACAGTTACCAACAGGCTGACAAAGCAATGGAAATATTCCACTGATCAGGTTAAAAAAAGAGAATTGAGGCAGAAAGGAAATACAAGAAAGACTGGTTTCAGTACATAAATATTTCCTTTATTATCCCACTGGTCAATCCTGGCCACTTGCACTTCCAGAAGCCAGCACAGTGGCTGAGAAGCCACTCTCCAGGAATGATTCCAAGAAGCCATTTCCTGGCAAAGAGCATGAAAACCACGAGTGGCAGTGGCCGCGCGTGGTCTGTGCCCTGAGCAGCGGCTCCTCAGAGAGCCCCTTCCTGGCTGCTGTGGGAAGAACCCATCAGTGCCCCCAGCACCGTTCGGTTTCAGCTTCCAGATTAACCCAACACACGTATGATCCCCACTAACCCTGCAGTCAGGAGTTTTACTGCCTACACAACTTACAGTGTCGCTGCACTCCTTGATCTTTTAATCCAACACTGATATTTCAGACCTTATTCAGTGCTGAGGGCCTGAGGCTTTTATACTTAGCCCAGAAATCAGTATTTTTCTGCAGCCACCAGTAACAACAGCACAGCAACCGTCTGCCAAAGCGGCAGCTTCTACCCACCCGTCACTGAACTCGTGACTGTGCGAGCACTGCAGGTTCCTTCCAGCTGTACACACACCACAACCAGGAACCGTGTAACACTATGAAGAAATCACCAAAATTCCACACTTCAACAAACCAGCTTTCAGAGAAACAGAAACGGGGGTGGGGGGAGCCCTTCCCACGTACTCCCCACCACTGAGTTAGCCGGGAAGAGAAAACGGAACTACGAGGAACCACCTCAAATCTTTTCTGTGTGAAAAGCTGACCCTAAATATAAATGTGGGATTTTTGGTGTGTGTTCTATTTTTAAAAGTTGTGGGTTTGGTTCTGAGACTCATGATGGAGCTGAAACACTCCTTCACAGTAAAACCTCATCTGCAGCACCAGTGGTGAACTGAAACTGCAGGACTCGGTGCTGTCTTTTCACCACACAGACGTCACCACACCGGGGAACCTGCAAATCACGCGTCTGAGCTCAGATATCTCATTCCAGGGCTCAGGCCAGTAAATGATCTACACTAAAAACACTGATGAAACCAAAACAGAAGTTTGGGAAGAATTTCCTTGGCTTTACCAAAACACCCAGCAGGACACAGGCTGTGAGACAGCAGCGAGGAGCAGAGAGCAGCAGCGTGAAGACGTTCTGCGATCCGAGGCTACCCCTGCAGAACAGGTTTAACTCATACACACGATTGCATCAGGCACTGCACCACCCAAACCAAAACACATAACACCCCTCCAGCGCTCTCACCAGTAAGTGCAAAGCGATGCCTGAAGACTGGGGGGGGAAGGCTGGTTTCTGAGTTTTAAAGACTCCAAAGCATTTTGTTTGATCACTTCTAAACCCAGCACGTGGTTCTACAGAAAAACAATCCCCTCTGGGTATCTAACATTTGGTTTTACCATGACCTGTGCTCAGCCCCACAGAAAGTGGCACAAAATGAAGGCAGCAGCCAACACAAGGAGAGAAGAAGCTGTTCAGGGGAGATCCGTTTGAATGATGGTGAAAACACCCCGTGTGCGTGTTCGACAGTTCACCTGCTCCCGCACAACGGTGGCTGCACCGGGAGCGCAGCCCCGGCCTCCCCTCACGTCCCTCGTCCCCCTCACCTC